ACGCCCGCGCTACCGGGCCTCCCCTCCGTCCGCCGACGGAGCCGCCGCGACCTCGCGCCCTCCGCCGCGCCACTCAGAGCCCACCGACCGACAGGCTCACTCGGGCCCGCGCGGTGCCGCCGCCTGACAATGCCGACTCGTGGCGCTCTTTATAATGCCGGGGGCCGGGCGCACCTCGCAACAAGGCGCGTGCTCATTGGCTGTGCCCGCCCGCCACTCAACCCCGCGCCAGCGTCCCATTGGCCGCAGCGGCGCGCGCACGCTAAATCCGGGCGGGCTTTGTCCTCATTTTAGAACCCGCGCGAGTCAGGGCCTTGCCGAGGGCTGCCGGGGCCGGGCGGCACCACAGCGTCCTCCTGAGTGGCGCCGGCAACCGGAACCCCGCGGCCCGGGAGCCGGAGACCGACCCCTCCGCCCTGTGAGGCCGCAGTCTCTCGTCCCGGTGCGCCCCATCCCAGCATTGGCAGCTTCGCCCACTGTTTTCCCCAAAAAGGAAACGGGGCTCCAGGAAGTCTCGCAAACCAAGGTCGCCCGGCTGGAAGTGGGAGAACTCGGGCTGCCGAGCTTGGGCGCGCAGGGTTCCCCCAAGGCCAGCGGCACGGCTCGAAGGGACCCGGACGCGGCCCGCCCTCCCCCTTGACCTTGGTGCCCTCACGGCCCCGCGCTCCCGCCCTTTCGGCCGCCTCCCCCAGTGGCGAGCAGCGGAGAGGGGGTGGAGCCCGCCGGGCGTCTGGTGCCAATGGTGCTAGGGCTGGATGTGGCGGGAGAAACGGTGGGACGGCGGTGTTCCCCAATCTTAGGTCGTCCGGCACCACCTAGACGATTAGCCTTGTCTTCACACTTTGGGTTAACGTTTTTTATTTGAGTTAATTCATGTATTCCTGCTGAAATTTCTTTTTAAGGAAAATACACCACTTCCCTGAAATCATGAAGTTGGAGGCGGGGCGGGACGGTTCTCTTTCTCTAATATACTAAACCCCTTCATTTGATCTCCTTGACCACCAAGCTTGGAAGGCCGGCGTAATCCCATGATTCCTTTTAATCATATGGGTGACGGGGCCCCACATGGACCAGGATTACAACCTCTGAAGCCTGGGGATTACCAGATAGCAACGGAACACAAGTGGCTGACGTTTCCCTCTGGGTTCCTACAGCCAGGCCCGGTGTGGGGGGCTGGGGGTTCTAGTGCCTCATCTGGTCACCTAACAACCCAGTGGAAGGCGATACCATCACAAATCTATAAATGAGAAAACTGAAGCCCAGAGCGTTGGCCCAAGACTCACTCCCGAATCCGGCCAGCCAGTGGAGTTGCAGAGGGAATGAATAATGTGACCATTTCACATTTGGAAAAAATAATCGACTATAGAAAACCCGAAGACTTGGCCACACAGCGCTGCATTCCCCCAAGGTATCCATCAACTAGGGCAGGGGCACCTGTCCCCAGAGGAGCAAATACCCTCTGGTTCACCCCAAGGCCCACCTGACTGCGTCACTTTCGGGCCAGATTCCACAACTAAAACCCAGAGTATCTCCATAAAACTGGGGTCATGTCAATGAAAGCTGATAAAAAGGCTTGCAGGAAGTCCTTCACAAACTCTCCACCCCAGCCCGTGCCCTCCCACAGAAATAAGGGCCAGGGAGGGGTGCTGTGCACTGGGGCTGATGGACACAGCTGCTCCAGCGTGAAGATAATACAGGCAATTAAGTTCAAAGTCAAATAGTCTAAATACAGCCACAGGACATAACTACTGATCAGAGCCTACATTCACTTAATCTCCTGCTCTGCTCCACACAGATGCCTTTTCCCACAACTTGGGAAACACTTTCCTAGACATGTCAAATCTGAGAATGACAGCATTTGGACAGCGCTTCACAGTTTGCAAAATGCTTTCCCCAACATTGCTTCATTGGAGCCTCAAAATAATTTTTGTGTGAGGGTATCCGTAGTTTATACCCAAAAACACTGAAATCACATCTAAAATTGTAGGCACGAAGCCAGTACCTCCAACCCTGCATTGATTCCAGGGCTCCTGGCTACTGAAGGACAAGGGGTCTCTGAGTTCCTGAGTTCCTTGGTCTGAATTAGATCTCTTATCAGATTAAATTATTTTGAGGCTCAAATGAAACAATAGCTTAGAAAATAATTTATGGGGTGCCTCGGTGGCGCAGTCAGTTAAGAGTCTGACTTTTGGTTTCAGCTCAGGTTGTGATCTCAGGGTTGTGGGATCAAGCCCCACGTGGATCTCCACACTCAGGACGGAGTCTGCTTGAGATTCTCTCTCCCTCTCCCTCGTCTCCTCCCCCTCCTCTCAAATAAATAAATAACTCTCTTGTTTTTTTAAGATTTTATTTATTTTTTTTTTGAGAGTGAAAGAGAGCACGAGCAGGGGGGAAAGGCAGAGGAAGAGGGAGAAGCAGACTCCCACTGAGCAGGGAGCCCGATGCGGGGCTCCATCCCAGGACCCTGAGGTCATGACCTGAGCCGAAGGCAGACGTTTAACCAACTGAGCCACCCAGGCACCCTATAAATACATCTTAAAAACGAAAGGAAGGAAGGAAAGAAGAAAGAAAAAAAAGAAAGAAAGAAAATTTGTAAACTCTAAAGAATTGCAGACAAGAGGGGGTCAGTCTCAGCACAGAATGCTTTTACTTGCCCCTAACGGTGTCTCTGACATGGGCAGGGCACCGGGCTCTTTGGAAGCAGCAGGAAGTCCCTTTGATGCAAGGATCCCACTCCAGTTATTGGGTCCCCGTTACAGACCCTGAATAGAGGACATCTTTGTGTGAGGTTCTCAAATCAGCAAGGAGCCCAGTTATCCCCTGAAATGCCCTTAAGAGACCCATATAGTACAATCTCCTGGCTTTGGGGATTGAGGCTGTCGGGCAGCGTATGTGTAAGAATACATACATTAACCAACCTAGGGGCACCTGGCTGGCTCAGTCTGTTAAACGTCTGTCTTTGGCTCAGGTTATGATTCCAGGGTGCTGGGATGGAGCCCTGGATCAGACTCCCTGCTCAACAGGAAATCTGCTTCTCTCTCTCTCTCCCTCTGCCCCTCCCCACTGCTCATTCTCTCTCTCTCTCAAATAAATAAAATCTTTTAAAAAAATAACCAACCTAGAAGAGAGAGAACAAAATGCATTTTGCAAGTTTTTAAAATTTCAGTTGACCCTTGAACAATGCAGGGGTTAGGGGTGCCAACCCCCTGTAGAGTCAAAAATCTGCATATAACTTTTGACTCCCCCCAAAACTGAACTACTCATAGCCTACTGTTGACCAGAAACCTTACCCATAATATAGGCAATTAGCAAGTATTTAGTATGTTATATGTAGTATATACTATATTCTTACAATAAAGTGAGCTACTGAAAAGACAAACATTATTAGGAAAGTCATAAGGAAGAGAATACATACACAATACTGTATTGTGTTTATCAAAAAAAAAAATCTAAAAAGGGGGCACCCAGGTGGCTCAGTCAAGTTGAGCATCTGACTTCGGCTCAAGGTTGTGGTCTCGGGGTCCTGGGATTGAGCTCCGAGCTCAGCAGGGAGTCTTCTCCCTCTCCCTCTGCCACTCCCCCTGCTTGTGCTCTCTTGCTCTCTCTCTCCCCCCGCTCTCCCTAATAAATAAATACAATCTTTAAAAAAAAAAAATCTACAAAAAAAAAAATCTGTGTGTAAGTGGATCCGCACGGTTCAAACCCACGTTGTTCAAGGGTCAGCTGTACATGAATTGATTTTCCTCGCGTTCTCCTTTATTCTTTTGTTGTTTGTTTGTTTTTCTCGGCTGAGCCTGCAAGCTGGAAGTCGCAAGAGTGAGCTGCCAGGGCATTGTGACTGTGGGCCAGGCCACACTCCTCAGCTCCCCGGGCTCCAGCCCCCCTGTGCCAGGGCTGAGTCTGGCTCCAGCTGGAGGAAGCTTTCTAACACACAAGTGGCATCTTCAGGCCTCATGGAGACCCTGGCTGGGCTTCCCAGCACTCTGAGGATGAAGTCCTAGCCCTGAATTCGGGTGAGAGAGGGAGAGAGTGGGGGCTCACGGAAGCCCATGCTCCCCGCCAGCCTCCCTTGCAGGGTGGGGTGTGAGTGGCAGGGTCGCTTCCAGGGCTGGGCACGTGAGCCCAGGGGCCTCCCCAGACCTCTCTTGCCCTGGAGACCACGTGTTCTGCACAGCGGAGCTATGTCACTGCCAACAAATGCCCAACCTAGGCCAGACTTGCCCTGAGCGAGAAACGATGCTGTAACTATGTCAAGCCACTGAGATTTCGGGG